GAAAATGCATCAAAATCACGTATTTTCACAATTCCGGAACCGGATCTCAGTCATGCATGGATGGATTTTGTTCAGATTTAGTACAATGTGTTGTACATATGCAGGTGCATTTCGGATCAGACCACTGAAAGTGGTCTGAGATTTCGGTCATGATCTGTTTTGAATGTATATGTCACTCAAATATGAACGGAACGGGGACGTGTCATTGACAATGACTTGTTTTTTTTAGATTTAAAAAAAACAATAAAAACAAATGTGAAATTGAGAAGTGACCACAAAATATCTTTTATGAAATTAGTGTTGCTATTAATATTTATGAGCAGAGAATTTGCATAGTGTGTTGGATGTAGCATTTCTCCATACATGTGCTCTCTTTCTAGGATGGTTAAATAAATATTGGCAATTTGATCAAACCTGAATAATTGCAGTTTTCTTAATTTATTTTCTGGTTTGCTAGGATGTAATGGGAATACCACTGAAGGCTCCGTTGACGTCGTACGATGTCATCTATACACTACCGATGTTAAATATCAAAGAGAATAAAGGTACAGGCATAGTGACCAGCGTCCCTTCAGATGCACCAGACGACTACGCTGCTCTCAGAGATCTGAAAAAGAAACAGGTATAAATAATGATGTTGTACAATTTCCTATATGTCACTAGATATATGCCATCTTCTATATCACGAATACACAGTCAGCAAGTATAATAAAACAATGTGATTTAATTTACCAATATTTACTATATTAGGGCTGTCATCTTGAATATGGCCTGAAACTATACGACAGAAACAGTTTGAGAAACAGGTTTTTCAGATTCCTACAAATCAGGGAAAGAATAACTAACTTTCACAGCCAAACGATTTGTTGATGTAACATTAAACCAACCGCTGATAAAAAATCAACTGCATTCATTGTTTTTACATGGAAAGATCCCTTGTATACTAACAGTATACTGGAACACTTTCTCTAGGTACTTGAGACCCAAGTTATAATTTAATGTGGATTTAAATTTTAGCCTTTTAGAGAAAAGTACCATATCAAGGATGAGATGGTGTTGCCATTTGATCCAATCCCAATCATCGAGGTACCCGACTTTGGTAACTTGTCCGCTGTGAAAGCATGCGATATGTTCAAAGTACAGAGTCAGAATGATAAAGATAAGCTACAAGAAGCCAAGGAAAAAGTCTATCTTAAAGGCTTCTATGAAGGGGTAAGTAAAAATAGATGGTGTAGATATGTGCAATGCATTATGGGATATATTGTAAAATTTTGAGATAGGAATAAAGAGCCTCACCGTCTCATATTTGATGGTTCCTATGCTACGTATACATTGTGTTTAAAATGCATTGTTGAGTTATATGAGGTACCCCAGTACAACCAACTGTCTCTCTTTAAATAATACCATTTGCCGTTTATAACAGTCACTAAAAGTTGCATAACTGATACTTCCCTTATCTTTATGATGTACATGTAGGTAATGATCGTCACTGATTACAAAGGGCAGTTCGTCAAAGACGTGAAAAAAGACGTTCAGAAAAAAATGGTTGTTGCCAAAGAGGCTGTGGTGTACATGGAACCTGAGAAAGAAGTGATATCTCGCTCAGCGGATGAATGTGTCGTTGCTCTGTGCGATCAGTGGTATTTGGATTATGGTGAAGAGGAATGGAAAAAACAGACAAAAGGAGCGCTTGACAACCTGGAAACGTGAGTACTTGTCATGTCATTAAGATTTACCTTTATGAAATAAATTTAAAAGATCGTACTCGGCAATCATCAAAATGTGTTGATACTTTTTTCTCAACATTTTTTGTGCAATCAGCTGTTTTGACATCCTCACCAGCATCAAAACAAACCGACTCTCTCATACTACAGTATGACCTACTCTTGGTACTAAGAACAATTGCGGTTTCTAATAATTCACGGTGTGAAAACAAGAATTTGAATTTGTTTGCCTTTAATCGTGCTCTAACTTTAACGCTCAGAATTCTTTATTCGAGTGAAATAAAAAAAAAATGTGTTATAAAATGTGACATCGCTTTATGTATGTGTCACCTTACTTCTCCGGTGATCCCTACCGAGTATCGTAACACAACGTATCAACGTTGATGTCAACAAACTGTCATCTTGGTTTTTTTTTACTAACTACATAAACAAGAGGCATGTGACAGTGATAAAAAGTGATTTAAAACAATACAAATAGATTTCCTAAGTCAATGCAGATAGAATTAGAAATCTTCGCTCGGACAGATTGAATGACTTCATTGCTGTGTTGTTAAAAGATGGAAAATTTATCACACTACCATATATGGATGCCGTGAG